GACTGCTGGCACAGAGGACAACGAGCACGCGGAGCCGAGGGCTTCCCAAGCCTGGCCTCTCCGCATAACTCGGGGCCAGCCAAAGATAACGGTCTGCCCGGCAACCCAGAGGGGACAACCAGAGCACCATGAGCTTCGCTGCTGTGACCCACTCAGCATCCCATGTAACTCCATGCCCCCCGGTGTCTCCTATCCCAAAGCCAGTTTTGCAAACTTCACATTCCTTGTAATATCCTTCCACCCCCTCCCTGAAACGTGGGTCTCTCAGCAGCTGCGCCGGCAGCAGGTGCTGCCCAGCACCCTGGCCTTGTGGCTGCAACTGTTGACAACAGGGTTGGGCAGAGGCTGCAGGGCAGCCAGAGGCTCATGTGGCTTTTTTGGGGGGACAAAGGGAGGCTCTGTCTGCACAAAACAGCCTAGACAAATGCTGGGCATGAGAGCTGCCATCCAAGGAAAATCCAGACGCGACAGTGACTCTGCCCTGACCTTACCCCAGCCCAGATGGCAAAATGAGGGTCCTCTCAGCAGAGCAGCATCCATTACAGGGCTCCTGGGAATGGGGAGGGGAGCACCCAGCTGTCTGTGCAGCCCTCCCAACCCAGAGGAAATGCCGAGGGATGGGCCAGAGGGCAGAGAAGGCACCAGGCTGCACCAAGCCTAAGACAGGCACTTCCCAAGGGCATGGTGGGAAAAGTCAATGGTTTAAAAGCAAAGGAACTGTGACCCTTGCTGCGGGATGTACCCCTCCTGCACCCTCTACCTAGTGAAGCCACCTCAGCCATGCTCTGATGTACCTCATCCCCTGGCTGGGGACAAGTCAACACCACTTGGGGACAGGTTAGCAGGTCCCCAGGCACTGAGGAGCCCTCCCCTCCCTCCTTCCAGTCCTGCCAGCAGCCAGGCAGCAGGATCAGGTAGCTGCTGAGGCAGTGCTTTCCCAGGCAGCCAGGCAGGGGCTGATGCAGAAAGGCTGGGCTGCTCACCCCAAGGTCATGGCAGGGGACAAGGGGGGGAACTGGCAGGGCTCAGAGCCTGTAAAGTGCTCCCACACTGCCAAGAGAGAGCTCTGCAACCCCAGGGGTTTTGGGGACTCCAGGAAGGATGAGCCTAAAAAACCTGCCCAGCTTCCCAGTGCTGCGACAGGATTAAGACCCATCTCTTCATTCCTCATGGAGCTTCTGTTCCATGGCCTCATGCCCTGGCAAGGTCAGAGAGCCAGACCATCTCTTTGGGGCAGTGAATTTAGAAACCAACAAAATAAGTAGGGGAAAGCCCTGCAGGAGAGAAAAAAGTTCAAACCACACCTGGGCTCCAAGTCCTGGCCTCAGCCACTCTAGTCAGGCACCCACACTAACAACACCACTTGCAATTGGCTCTGAAGGCGAAATGACCAGAGACGAAACAACAAAAAAAGGAGGGAGAGGAAAAAACAAATTGCTGTGTGTAAAAAGCAACTGCCAACCCCTCTAGATAAATAGGTAACTAGAGGTGCCACAATGCCCCCATGGTTTTGTGAACCCTCCTCCCACACGCACATTCCTTCCCATCCCCACTTAAAACCTCCCATCTGGAGCCCAGCGGCAGAAGCCACCAGTAACATGACACCAGTCCCTCCGGATCCCCCATCGATCCGGAAGGGAGGACAAACTGCCTCCGTCAGCTCCCCACAGCCCTGCTTAGCCCTGGCGCCGCCGTGTTCCCCACCAAGGACCGCAGAAATCCAAGCAGAGGATGTGGGGCTGGCAGGACCACCAGCATCCTGCCTCCCCCCCACCACATGCTGCCGCTGTCCCAGACATGCTGCTAATAGGCAGGGCCACAGGCAGGTCAGGGGTACAGGGGAAACATGAGCAAGGTGAGCAGGACATAGGGGGACTAACACCCACAAGGGCACCTTGCTCCTGGTTCTTGCCAGGGAAGCCAGCCTGCCTCCTCCAGGGCTCCCTGACCAGAACAGATACGGGGAAACAGCAAAACTGCAGGGTGCTGTGCCCAGGACAGGGTGCTGGAGCACCTCACAAAGCCACACAGCAATGGGCCAGACCCCCCAGCCAAGCCCTGGTCCTCCTGCCCCTGGCAGGGACCAAACCAGGACCTTCACACTGCCTCTCCCTGGCTGAGGATGCAGTTAATGCAAGCTGTGTTTATACAGGGCATGTACAGCTGTAATTATAGGCACCATGTTATGATAACATCCTGCCTCCCCCCCACCACATGCTGCCGCTGTCCCAGACATGCTGCTAATAGGCAGGGCCACAGGCAGGTCAGGGGTACAGGGGAAACATGAGCAAGGTGAGCAGGACATAGGGGGACTAACACCCACAAGGGCACCTTGCTCCTGGTTCTTGCCAGGGAAGCCAGCCTGCCTCCTCCAGGGCTCCCTGACCAGAACAGATACGGGGAAACAGCAAAACTGCAGGGTGCTGTGCCCAGGACAGGGTGCTGGAGCACCTCACAAAGCCACACAGCAATGGGCCAGACCCCCCAGCCAAGCCCTGGTCCTCCTGCCCCTGGCAGGGACCAAACCAGGACCTTCACACTGCCTCTCCCTGGCTGAGGATGCAGTTAATGCAAGCTGTGTTTATACAGGGCATGTACAGCTGTAATTATAGGCACCATGTTATGATAGCAGGAAATCCATGCCCTGTGGAGATGCAGGCAGAGAAAGGCATGCATGGAGCTATTTGTTAATTTCCAACAACAACAGCCTTTTGTCCCTTGGTGGGCTATGGGCAGAGCAGTCTCCCCGTGCTGGGCTGGAACCATCAGCACCCACCTCTGCCCAGCGTGCACAAGTCAATGGCAAAGCCATACAGGTCTGGACAGATGGAGTCTGGCCCATGGCAACTACAGGGTAATCCCACCTGCCCTGAGACACAACAGGACAGGTTCTGACCCACCAGTGGTCAGGACTCAAGAACTCAACCCTTCCAAAAGACAGAGGTTTTGTAAACTTGGTTGGCAGAGAGAAGCAAGGGGAAATTGCCCCTCACTGGCCCTTTCAACGTTACCCCCAATCTATTGTCATGCTATGACAGAAGCACAGGCCTACCTGTACCTCCAAAAGACTGGTGAGGTGAACAGCCATCCCTCCACATCAGCATCACCAAGAGCTCTCCTACCTTTTTGATCTTCCCGCTCCGTGTGCCGGCAAAGACAACGGTTTGTCCTCTGTAGTCGTAGGCAGCCACTGAGGTCATCCCATCCTCCTTATCCACAAAAAGCGGGGTCCCCTCGATGGTGACGGTCCCACCCAGCGGCTGGTTAAAATCCTGGCCACAGAAATTGTCATCGATCTGCAGCGGCTGTCAGAAGCAAACAGAGGAGAGATGAGCTTTTTGTCAATGCCTTGACATGCCAGACCTCCCCAGGCAATCATTAGCCATTTCCCACCTTTACCCCATTAGCTATGGTAGTAGCTTCAGCAGCCCCACTCCTTGCCCCTCCTGTCCCAGCCATCTCACCTCACCAGCCAAGGGAAGGGATGAGCTGATGCTTCCCTAGAATTCCTTACGTACTGATGTAAGGCACTTGGGATGCATCCAAGGCATGCAGGGATGTCTGCATCTGAACAAGCTTTGCTGACCAAGACTAAGGCTGTCAGTCCTCTGCACTCACAAACCCAGCAGGAGCCAGGGCAGTATCTCTGCTCACCCTCCATCCCTGCTGCTGCTGTCTCAGACACGTGGGATGCCAGCACAAGCACACATACCCCTCTCCTCCTCATCCAGGCACTAGCTTCAAAAAAAAATGACTTGGCAGTAAGGCAGGAGGAGCTGAATCCTGAGTCCCAGCCTTCCCCTTGAGACGAAATGCTTCCCAGCCAAGGCCGTGCCAAGACAAACAGGTCCAAGGCTCCTAAAGAGCCTCACTTCACATAGCAGAGCCTCCAGCAAAAACGCTACCCACCTGCCAGCCCTGTTCCTCCTCCTGCCGAGTGTCTTTGGGAAATCCCCACATTTTTTCCTGCTGCCTTGCCCCAGACAAGGCGCCTGGCTCAGCCAGCTGCCTCCCCGGTTCAGCACTTGCCCACAGGTCTGGGAGAGGCTTTTGCAAACTCTGCCCGTGGAGAGGCAGCAACAGGGCTTCACCAGCCCCCCTCTGCCCTTGAGGCTGTGATGGTAGGGACCTCCACAATGGGTAAGGTGAACCCAGAGGGATGCTTCCTGTGAAAGCCGAGATGCAAGCAGTGGAGTGGGACCAGGAGCAGCTCCACAGCACTGACCCCCTCCATCAAGCATCCTCACTGCCTTGCCCTGAGCAGAACAGAGCCTGGACATGAGCATCCAGCCTGAGGACACATGGGTGTCCCAGAGACCCCACGCTAAGCAATGGCCTCATGTGGTCACACAGCACCAGCAAAATCCACCCATTGCAGCTCCCTGCTCATCCCAGGCAGCAAGGGGCTCTGGCCAAACCCCCACAGGTGGCAGCAAGCCTGGGTGCAGGAGGCCAGGCAGCAAGGCAGGTACGGCCAATGGGGAGACAGGCTGCTCTGGCCACAGGACTTTTCTGCTTCACAAGTTTCCTTATGTAACTTTGAATTTAAAGGGGAGAGAGGTTTTTTGGCAAGCAGCAGCTTCCAAATGCATGCCAGTCCCCAAGGGGTTTTAAATCCATACAGCATGTGCATGGAGCATATGGGAAACTGCAGAGCTCCCGAGCCCCACGTACCAAGGGCAGCACATAGCTCTGCAATTCCCACTCACTGCTGCCCAGGAAGTGAGGATCAGCTCAGACCAGCTCCCACCAGCAACCCAGGGTCAGTTACAGGGAGGAGAGAAAACACAGTGCTTTTCCATGCTTCAGTGCAATGCACTCGCAGCCACAAGGGCTTCAGCCTCCCAGGCACGGCGAGGCTGCTCATCCTCCTTGCCGTGCCACCACGCTGCCCCAGGGCCAGCAGTCCTGCTGGAGGCTGCAGGGGGAACCCAGTTCCATGCCAGCTTTCCCGCAGGGGAGCTCCGGGAAGGACGCCAGCCGGTCACGTTCCGCCTCCCTAGGCTTTCTGGGGATGCTGGGCTGCTTCTTCAGTTCCTGTAACTTCTGTTTTTGCTGGGTGCCTGAGTTAGTGCACAGCCAAAGGTCAACTCCCTTCCCTGCCTGACCTTTGCTTGTCCTTCCCTAAACTGGGGAAACTCCTACGACCAAGCATGAGACACGCAGGGATCTCTAAAACAGGAACACGGGGCACCACACACACCACTGCAACCACAAGAAACAGGGAAGAGGAAGGGGAATTAGGACCTCTCTACAAGGCTTAACGTTTTAAAAAAGCAGACCCAAGAAAATTATACTCCCAACCACAAAACGATATGGGAGCGATGCTTCAGTCAATACCCATGTCCCATCTGGATACTCAGGATCCTTCAGACTCCTTGCTGAGAAAAAAACCTCTTCAGCCCAGACAGCCTGGAGCCCCACAGCCCTGGTAAAGCGTCCCAGCACCTTCCACCTAGCCACCAGCAGCAGCAGAGGGATTAAGGGCAATGCCCCCAACCACAAAACGATATGGGAGCGATGCTTCAGTCAATACCCATGTCCCATCTGGATACTCAGGATCCTTCAGACTCCTTGCTGAGAAAAAAACCTCTTCAGCCCAGACAGCCTGGAGCCCCACAGCCCTGGTAAAGCGTCCCAGCACCTTCCACCTAGCCACCAGCAGCAGCAGAGGGATTAAGGGCAATGCCATGAAGGTATTTAAGCCCCAGCGGTGTAGTTTCTGCTCTCTCTGAACTCCATCTGCAGCTTCCCCAACCCCTCGGCTGCTGAATATGCAAGAGGAGAGATGTTTACCGTGTTTACTCCTCTCTGCTTTGTCTCAACAAACTCTCTGGGAAACGACAAATACAGCTGCGCTCTGGGACCACAAGGAGCGCTCGATGCCGACACCACCCTCGATAAATAATTATGCCAACAATTAGCTCATTAACAGCAAACTGCTTCATTAGGGAAGCACCGGCAGGGAGCATGGCAAGGTCAGGCCAAGGGCGTGAGCACAGGGGTTATGGTACCAACCAACATCCCTGGTGGATGCAGATCTGCTGGGAGAGGTGAGGTGGAAGGACAGGGGGACGGAAGGACAGGGGGCCAGGGGGGCAGAGGGACAGCCATCTCCCAGCCAGAGCTGGCAAGGACCACAGGCACCACAGCACAGAAGGGCCAGTGACCTTGCAGCATGTCAGCTTGCAGATGCTGGGACCTGCAGGAGGCACGAAGCTCTGCCTGCTCTCCCATTTGTGGTGGTGTCTGCAGGGACTGTGGCCTCAGCCCACTGCAAGGGGGGGCTGTTTGGTGGTTGTTGTTGTTTTTCTTTTGTTTTTATTTCAGTGCTTTCCTTTGGCACCCCTCTCAGCTACCCCTGACCTCCAGACACCCCAGACTCCCACCTCTGCAGCACTCCAGCCTCCTCTTCTCTCTCAGCATTAACCTGCCTCCCCAAAATAGGGTCAGGAAACTCCAGTTTCCCAGGGGAAGTTGCCTGCAGAAGCAGGGAAAGTGGGCCTGCAGCACCGAGTGAGCAGGAGAGAGTGTCTCCTTGACATGCCTTGTCTCATTGCCTCTCTTCAAGCCCACTTACGAAAGCAATGAGGGAGCAGACAGCAGAGGCGAGGCTCATGTCGCTCAGCGTTATTAATTAGCCAGTAATTCACCAGTTAACACCATTACAGGCTCACCCCATCCCCCTGTTCCCCCCCAGGAGCTGTGATGGAGGCTGCAGGGGACATGAAGAGCCAAGGAGAAGGCTGCAGCAGGCAGGTACCAAGTGCCAGGCTGGGATGCCAGGCCGTTTGCACGTTAACTGCTGTCCAGGAATAACCCCAGGGAGAAATGGTTTGTTAACACCTGCATTTCCCTGGCTGCCCCTGGGAAGGATTTGGCTTATCCTGACCCAGTTTGGGCCAGTTTGTCAGCAGCCATTGCCCCGTGCCAGCAGGGCACTCAGCAGGGGACTTCTTCTCCCTGGGACAGCCCAGGGAAAGCTGCTGCCCGTGTCCTGCTGGCTCTGGGCACTGGCTCTACCTGTGCTGCCAGCCCCGAGGTCAAGGGCTCTGGGAACCCCAAATCACTCCCTACTGCAACATCTCCACTCCAGGTCGAGCCCACTGTCTTTTCCCAGCCCTGCTACACCAGTCACTCATCCCCCAGTTTTGGGGACAGGCACACTGGGCAGATGCACTCATCACTGGATCCCAGAACGGCAGAGACGGAAAAAGGAGATAGGAATCCACTCTACTTGCCAGCACCCACTAACATCTCCCAAGCTGGCTGCCAAGCCTGGCGGCCTCTCCTCCTAGCTCTGGCACCAGCTCCAGATAATCAGAGCTGCCCTGCAGTGTCCTGGGATGAGCAACCCTCGCTCGCTCCTGCACTGCTTGAGATCTGGAATCAAGGCACTGGCAAAGCCTCCTCGAGCACAGACCAGCCTCAGGCTCTGGCCACCACAAAAGAGCAGTGCAAGAAAGCTTCTGGGACATCTCCCTTACAGATGGGGTGTAAATCCCAAGCAGCTACCGACTTGAGCAATTACATTCCACCTCCTTAAAAATAAAGAATAACAACATGCCCTTTATTTTCTGGCCAGCCCTCACCACCAAGAGTTCCATCACTGCCACAACCCACTCCAGAAGTGGCTGCATTTTATTAGGGGCACAGGAATTCCTTCCAGAAAGAGGTTACATGCTCCACAGGGTCTGGTTTGGCTTGTGCTCAGCACAGCAAGGGGCTAAAGGCTTAACTCATGATTCAGTCATGTCTTTCCTGGCTCTACTTGGCAGCTGGAGCAGGACAGGGACAGAAAAACACCACCTGGCTCCCCTGGAGGAGGGCAGCACCCCCCAACCCAACCCATTTGAAAGCAGGAGCCGCCCCACCCTTCCACCTGGTAAGTCTGCAGGACCCAAAGAGCACCTTGAGATCCACCTACTTGCTCCAGCTGACCACCAGGTAGCAATCCCAGAACTCTCCTAGCATGAAACCATCCCCAAAATGCAGGAGATAGAATCTCCCCCCACCCAAACCCGGGGGACATGATGCTGCCATGGGGCACCAGGGGAGGTGAGCCAGGAGTGCAGGAGGCAGCGATGAGCATCTCCTGCACCACAGTCAGCAGCTGCACGACCCAACAGGCAGCAGTGTAACGATTTCATCATTTTCCAGCAAAATTGAATTAGTTCAAAGCCAAAATCTGATTTGCAAGCCCAGCGCTCTTGACAGCAAACCCTTTACTTTGTCAGGCAGCTGTTAGCTGTCTCCTCCAGAGCTGCAGGAAGGACAGTGGCAGGGAAGGCAGGGCTGCTCCAAAGGGACCATCTGCCCACCTGCCTGCACCACCAGGCACCCAAACCCCTGCTCAGGCAGGGCTGGGGACTGAGAGATGGGTGTTGAGCAAGCAGGGCTGGGGTGAGGTGGGAAACATCAGGGGTTTGGGGACCTCCACCAGATCCTCCTAAATGCACACACCAGTGCCCCAAAATCCCTCTTTGCCAGATATCTGACCCCGACTGGGGACTACCTAGCTTGGTGACACCCAGTGTGAGACATCCTTGTCACCCAGAGCCATAACCTCCCTGCCACTACTCATGGAGTACAACATCGCCTGGAAAATAAAACTATCAATAGTAGTAAGTTGGAAAACCTTCTTCCACATCCTACTGCCCCCAACACCTTCTGCTTGGCCACCACCAAGCACCACTCAAAAATTTAAGTGTACCATCTGCAAGGGACTCCCCAGTGGAGCCGCAGCACATGCCCTGAGAACTGAGCATCCCGCCCTCCCATTACAGCTCACCAACATCCCCCAGATCCACAAAGTAGGGGAACCAGAAGCAGGCACCTCCACTAGCACAAGGCCCCATGCTTGGGGCTCTTTTAAGGGCACTAAACCAACCCAAACCCAGATGGCCACCCCACTCTGAAGCCATGATCTCCACAAGGAATGCTACTGAGCAAGCCAGGCACCCAGCCCTACTGGTGCCACTCCTCCCACCAGGAAAGCATGGCTCAGGGTCAGGTCACTGGGAAGGGTCTGGCCAGAGAGCACAGCCAGGAGCCAGGAACAGCCTGGTTTGGATAGAGACAAGCAGGGAACTTACCGAGTTGATGCAGCCCAGCTCCTTATTCAAGAGCCAGGGCAGCGAGAGCTTCCCTTCCCCTCTGTAGCATGACTGGATACGTTCCTTGATCTTATCCTTGATCTTCTTCAACGTGAAGAGACAGAGCACAGACTCCTTGGGAGGCTTAACCCTGTTTTTCTGGCCCTGGGAGAAGATGGTGAAGAGGATATCCTCCTGCTCTGAGATGCCCAGATGCCCGGCCAAAGCCTTGCCAGGTTTGGTCAGGTAGGCGTCCTGGATCAGGCGGTACTCGATGCCGTCCTGTACGCAGCCGATGGGGAACTCCACGTAGGAGTAGAACTTGGGGTCATCCACACAGAGGCGGACAATCTTGGAGGTGAAAAACTGCTCCCCAGTGGAGTCGGGTGAGGTGAGCTGGGTGTCCAGCTGCAGGGTCAGGTAATAAACAAACTGCTCGCTGCTGAAGCTGTAGATGTAGTAGATGTCAAAAGTGGGGAACTTGGAGAGTGTATCCGAGGGGATCTTGAGCTGGGAGGAAACAAACTCATCCTGGTAGACAAAGCCAAACATCTCTGCATTCTCCTCGTTGGCCATCAGCTTGCGGCTGGACAGCGTGGGGAAGTACTCTGACTTCCCATCAATGGGCGTCCCAATGAAGAGTTTGTTCTGCCCGTTCAGCACCTCGATGATGACCCCAGACATGGTGCCTGACTCATTGACACTGGAGAGGTAGTGCTCCTTGCGGTGGTGGGGCTCACCCAACTTGAAGAGGTCGTCCAGCCGCAGGAACTGGCAGATGCCCTGGGAGGCACTGCCACAGGCGATCAGCCGGTTCCCCGAGTAGTCCACCAGCAGCAGTTTGTTCACGTTGTTAGTGGTGACCAGCCCGTGAGGGCAGGACTGAACACTGGGCGGAGGGTAACACTTCTCATTGTCCTCCACGGGCCCTGTCACGTGGGTCCTCAAGAGCGTGAGGTTATTGGAGAGCTTGTAGATCCGATTGACAGCCCCCACGTAAACCTCCCCAGTTTTGTTGTGGACCACCAAGTGTGTCAAGCTCCAGTCTGTAACCGGGAAAGTCCTAAAGGGAGACTTGGGGCTGCCTTCCGCCAGCGGTAGCCAGGTGCTCCCCAAGAGCAGCAAGGTCCAAACGTTGACAGATAAGTGGTGCTTGAGCCAAAGGAGCCACATTGTAGCAGCTTTGCATCCAGCCAAGGCCATGCCCAAACCCACCCACAAAATAAATAGAAAGAAACCCAACCTAAGGGGATGAGGGAGGAGGAGCTAACAGGACACAGTCTCCACTGCTTCCACTGTGCTCGGCCCTCAGGGCAT